CCCGGGGGGGGCACTCGACCCCGTTTTGGATAGGTACGTGCCGCCAGCGGTCTAAATCCCTGACCCTGTTTAAGACACTAAAAAGTAAAAATCCATACCCTGTTCAAGACAAATCGGAAAAATAAGGAATAGCTATCTACGCCGCAACCATCAAAACTGCAATTATACTGACATCCATCAAAGACAATAAGAAGTTTTTGATAACACGTTAATTCTGGGACAGTGAAACGGTATTTCTACGGTGTTATGAAAATATTACCCTGTCCAAGACACACAAAAAAATTATATCGGTCTCTTTTATCTAAATTGTAGAGCCTGTTTAAGACAATTTTTTTTTTGATGGATGTCAGTATAATTGCAGTTTTGATGGTTGCGGCGTAGATAGCTATTCCTTATTTTTCCGATGGGGTGAAATGTATACCCTGTTTAAGACAGCAAGGCCAAAAACCATACCCTGGCCAGCGGCACGTCCCCGTATAGTAAATATATGGTAGTGCCCCCCCCCCCCCCCCCGGGTGTTTCCTCCGTAACGTTATTCTTAATCAGTTTCAGTTAAAAATCTTTGATGTTCGAAAGCTTACTCTCACGAAATGAAAAAGAAAGGGAAAAACCGTTCCTCATCAATTATTATCAACCCTTGGATTTGATCCCATTATTTTTCTTGCAAAAAGAAAACAATAATTTAAGCAGCTTATAAATTTATCAAGAAAGCCACAATGGCGGCAATCAATAGAACTGAAATCACAAACAAAGCCAAAAGCTCATTTGACATTCGTTTCGAAACTGCTGAGGAATTCACCAAATGAGGAATTAATTGATCTTTCACATTCAAGCGAGGAAACGGCACATCCGGGAAAGGAACGCCAAGAAACTTACACAGTGGCCCCCAACCTTGCTTAACGTTGTAGACCAGTAGCTTATCAAACGAGATTGCAGCTTTAACCCTCGCGTTGTGTTCGAGGTATATGTTAGCCAATACCTCTCCATCCTTAGCGGGGAACATTTTGCTATCAACAAGACCCACAATCGCTCGCCGTTTACGACCCGTTGGAGTCAATGCACTTGCAAGTTTGTTTTTAAGAGAACTCATTTCTCTTCTGAATACATTAACCGTAGAGATCCATGACTCGACCCACATTTCGGMAGAATCTCGCTCCATCAGTACCACCTTTGCATCAGGGAAAGCTTGACTTAGCTCCTTCCAGAGCAAACACGCTGGAACCCCAATGACGGAATCGACCTCACTGTACATGGCAGAGAAGTCCGGCATGTCGCCATTTAGAGCTTGAATGTATTCACTCATGTACCACATGAGATGTTCATCAAAGTCGTGGACCACAAATCCGAGGATTCGTAACGCTTTTGCCAACGATTTGGTGCCGGTTTTTGATAATCCTGCACAAATGATTTTCATATTTTGCACACGTGGTCGGTCCAACTTGCTTCCGTCACAGGCTTAACAGACTAAGAAAGATAACAATGCAACCACAGGCTTACCAAACTATCGAGAAGAGTCGGCTCCAGGCCTCCTATGGCGATTATCGGCCGAAAGCCGTTGAAATCTCTTCAAATTTAGGCCATTTTCAACATCGATATTTTGGTTATTTTGGGRGGTTATATTCTGKTTTTTTARTTCAGAAATAAACTTTAATACTTTCTGAATGTGGATTTGTGGTTCTTTTTGCCGTGCGATACGTTTTTCATGGGTAAATGATCGCGAGCCCCGGTGAAGTAAATCCCCACAAGGCTGGCAACTGCAGCCCGCCGAACTCCCAAAAATCGCCAATTCGACTCACTTAAACCTCAAAATCGGGTCGAAAAAATCGCGCCAAGCTCTTGAAATTTTGGGAAATTAACCGCAGATAAACACTTCATTCCCTCCTGAAATATCAAAATCACAGCTAAAACAGAACAGAAATAAATCGGTCCCGAAGTTCAAACTTTTGCTTTCGTAACATGAGCTGACCAAACAGGTGTCCCCTCGGCATCTCAGGAATGCAAAATGTCACGCTAGTAAATACATATTGATTATCGATACAACACAAATTCCTGCTTTTTCTTGGAACATTTTTGAAGTAAAGAAAKATTTAGAAGTTTCCGCTTTTTATAGAGTGGCAAAGTTGTGTCCTTCGCAAAGTTGTATATTTTTCGGACTATCTCTGGCGTGACATTATTTAATTCTGACAGCTCATCAAATCTTCCACTTAAACAAAGCTCTGACAGCCGCGAAAATGACACTGTCCAGAACGGAACAACAAAACAGGAAAGCGCTTGCAATTTTAAGTTAGAAAAGCCAAAGATGACGAACTTTGTGAGAGAATATGCTATATTTCGCTCAGATTTTWAGCATGCCATCGAGTCCAAGTACAACAAACGAGATGCGATTACATTGCTGCGCACGTGTTTACAAAGTAAACCACTCGAATTGATTAAAGGAATCGGAAGCGACTACGATGCCGCGTGGGAGTGTGATCCACGGTTTGTGCCGGACACTGTCACGCAAGACATTGTCAAGTTTAAAGCTCTACAAAACGGAGATGACGCGCGTTTCTGTGACCTTGTGCATTTGGTGAAGAGAAGTTACAATACCCTCAAAGAAGTTGGAGTCCCGAGTGATATGGATAACAGCCACATGTATGGCTTCTTCATAGCATGACAAATTATCATGTTCAAAAATACTACTGCGTCTACTGCCTGCATGGCTTTGTTCGAAAAGACCTTCTGGACGACCACGAACCCCATTGTGGACGTCATGGTCCCCAGAAAATACGCTTGCCAGACGAAGAGCATGCAACGCTATCCTTCAAAGAAGTTCAAAAGCAGCTCAGAGTCCCGTTCATCCTGTATGCGGATTTTGAGTCCCTGTTGGTTGAATGCGACAGCACTCCGTTGAAGGAAGGCGTCAGCGGGACTCAGAAAATCCAGCATCATCAGCCGTGTGGGTTTTCCTATACAGTAGTGTCCACAGTGGAACAATACCACAAAGCTCCTGTGGTCTATCGGGGAAAAGACTGCGTGGATCGCTTCTTAAAGTGCTTGTTGGAAGAGGAAAAACAGATAAGCRAGATTTTGAAAAATGTAGTGCCGATGACTATTACCGAGACCGAGGAACTAGAGTTTTAGCGGGCCAGCGACTGCCATATCTGGGGAGATCTCCTTGGTGCAGACCGTGTTCGCGATCACTGCCACCTGACGGGGATGTACAGAGGACCGGCTCACAACGAGTGCAACCTTAATTTCAAGTTTTCAGGCAATATTCCCGTCGTACTGTATAACCTCCGCGGTTATGACAGCCACTTTTAAGAATTAAAATTCTTCAAAGCCTCGGTAAACTCACTTCTGAAAAGCTGAGTTGAATCCCGAACAACTCTGAAAAGTACATATCCTTCACGGTGGGCAACCTCTCGTGTTTATTGATTCGTTGAAATTTCTAAATAGCTCGTTGGAACGACTAGTAGACAATCTTAGCAAAGAGGGAGCGGATAAGTTCAAGATTTTAAATAAGTACGTGAAAAGTGACAAAATGGGGCTCTTGCTTCGAAATGGAGTCTACCCTTACGAATATATGGACAGTTTTGAACGGTTTGAAGAACCTGAGCTGCCATCGATCGACCATTTCTTCAGCTCCATGACCGGCAGTACTGTATCGGAAGAAGATCATGCACATTACAGCTGTCACTTGAAGATATGAATTTTATCTTCAAGTTTTGAATTTCTATATCCCACAAGNTCTTTGCTTATCTTTGCTCTCTGTATTTGTTGACAGTTTGTATTAAAGAGTTTATTGAAGAATAAAGAGTAAAATCTGAACATTCAAATAATATCAAGGCTCTCTTTTCAAAATGCATAGTTTTATAAATTAAAACATCCGAGTAGTTTTATGTCAAAGAAGATTATTATTGTGGATAGAATGTACGTGTACGAAACGTGTACACAATTCACACATAATTTCATTGTCAACAAGCTCATTTAACTGAGAAGTTTTGAAGTGTATCAGGTGAAGATTTTCAAATTCAAAAGCAAATTTAAACCAGATTAAAACTGCCAAAGGTTCTTGAAGTAGAAGAATTGATATAAGCTTAAGTTTACTTAATTTGAGCACCAAAAACCGCTTGCACATTATAATCTAACATACCGCCATTTGTTTAATAACGCCACGGTATCGTCGGAGAATATGTCAGTTCTCCTCTGAGAAATTCTCCATCAATAATCGTTGTCTTTGGCGTTCGTTTCTCGATTTGCTTGAGTCTTAATAAACTTAATTGTTTCGTCTCTCACGTTTTCCCTTTCAAGCCTGCGTTGTTCTTCACTTAGACTTCTTCGACGCTCTCTTTCTCTTCTTCTTGTCTTTTCTTCTTCAGATAAAGATCGCTTTCCGTTAGCTACCCGTTGATTTTCCGACATTTGGCGCAGAAGTAAAGTATTTGAAAGGACAAAAATGGAGTCGTTGCGGTGAAAAAGTTGTTTCAACAATTGACGCGAGCGCGCTTCCTTTTCCCGCCTTCTCAAAAGTAGCCAATCAGAATCGCGATGTACACGGACGKACGTACGTACGTACGGACAACTGAGATTCCTGTGTCGGTTGATCAAAACTCAACTCCATGGGTTTACCATTTTTCCTTAGTTATGGTGCTCCGCAATGAATTATCACCCAACAAAAAAACTTGTCCAAAWTCTTCATGATAAAAATCATGCACTACAGAAATCTTCAACTGTACCTCTCCTTGGGCCTCGAACTTACCAACATCCACCGTCAATATGCGAAAACCGTCTCTCTACCTAAACCGTCCTCTGTACGTGGGGTTCTGTATTCTTGATCTTTCAAAAGTTTTGATGTACGATTTCCATTACAATTATATGAAGTCAAAGCATGGTAGCTACTGTAAGCTGCTTTTCACGGACAGCCATTGTTACAGTGTTGAGACAKAGGATATCTACCGCGATTTCCTTCAAGACCTCGACTTCTTTGACACCTCACCTCTACAGTAGCACAAATAAAAAAACACAATAGGAAAAATGAAAGACGAGACCCATGGTATCGCCATCGAAGAGTTCATCGGACTGCGTCAAAAAATGTATTCTTTCAAGTATTCAGGAAATGGTAAAAACATTGAAAAGAAAACAGCAAAAGGAATCTCGAAAATTGTCACAAAAAGAGACATTCGCCATGCACACTATAGAGAGTGTTTGCTTCAGAAGAAGAGATTTATACCCTTAATATAAACAAAATTGGTCTTAGTCCCTATGACGATAAAAGATATATTTTAGAAGATGGTGTAACTACCTTAGCCTACGGTTATGATATGGATGATTTGTAATAAGTGATATGTTGACATTGGTGTGAATAAAAAAAGGTGAACATCTCAAACGTGTGTCGCTTTTGTCCCTTCTGTCCCTTCTGTCCCTTATTTAAGTGTGCCTTTCTGTCAAAAGAACATTAATCTCTTGTGAAACGCAAAGGGATAACATGAGTGGCCGGGTGTGCAAAGATTGTCCATTTCCAAACTGTGGYACGAAATGTCTTGTGAAACTTTCTAACCATCTCGCGCAAGTACACGAATTAACGCCAGAACAACGAAAGCCCTATTTACAGCAAGCTCGCATCCAAAAGTTTGGAATCCAAGCTTTTTAAAACACCCCATTTCATGCGATGGACGTGAGACTGAGACATCCTTTTGGAGCYATGGTGGCGGGCCCTACCTGCTGCGGTAAAACTCAATTTGTGAAACGGGTACTCGAARGTGGTGAAGAAGTGATTGATGAAGCGCCTGAAAACATTGTTTGGTGTTATGGCATGCATCAGCCAGCTTACGATGCTATGTCATAGTCTCTTCCACAAATTCACTTTGGAAGAAGGACTTCCAGTGATGGACTTGGAATCTCGAATCGATCCCTCGATTCGCAATCTCATTGTCATAGATGACCTGATGAATKAAGTGGGCAGCGATAAGCGGTTGACCAACATATTTACCAAAGGATGTCACCACAAGAATCTTTCATGTATTTTTATTCTTCAGAATATTTTTCATCAAGAAAATCAGTCTCAATTGCCAGTACATGGTGCTGTTCAATTCTACTCGAGATAACAGTCAAATCACAAACCTGGCCAAGCAAATCTATCCTGGCAACGTCAGATTTATGCAAGAGGCATTTCGCGATGCGACGTCAAAGCCCTACGGTTATTTGCTTTGCGACCTCAAACCAGATACCTTGGACGAGTATCGCCTGCGCTTCCTCCTTGCTTGATTGCGTAGAACAGTTTCTCTAGCAACTTCTCCATCAATTTGAGAATTTTCGATTACGACTTGACCCCCACAGCACACCAGAACACAACAGATTTTACGGAAAATATCGCTAAGTGCAAGATTAGGTGTCGAGCTCAGACACCCGCAACCCGTATCTTTCTCCCTTGAAGTCAAACACGACAATGACACTTGGCAGAAAAACCAATCACTTTTATT